CCCCAAAACCCCAAAACCCCAAAACCCCAAAACCCCTCTATGAACAATTTCCTTAGAAACCTTAATAATAATTTAACCTCCAAAATGGAAGTAGAAGAAGACTTGTATAATTTCGGTCAAGAACTCTTAAACAACTTTGATAAAGAGAGAGCCAACAAGATTTTATCTGACCAGACAAAGGAGCTTGAGCAGAAGCTTGAACAAGAGGAAGATAATCTCTTAAGACCTACTGACAAAGATGCTCTAGGTGACAAGTATTCCAAGTGGGATAAGATAGACCAAACTATTAAGAAACGAGAGCATTTTGAACAGGTATCCCAGTAGTCTCAACTTTAGAAAGCAGAGAAGGATAAATCTGATCTTAATAAAAACCTCATGGAACAAATGATGGGTTGCAGTCAAAACCATTCTAAAGAAATGGCTATTTATAACAGGAGTTTTAAGGAGAAAATCGAGGTCATCACTGATTTCAAGGAAAAAGGGAATCAATACTTTAACCAAAATGATCTACAGAAAGCATCTTATTTCTACGAGCAGGCCTTGTTACAGTTTCATTACTTGATCCCTGATAATAAGGAAGAGGAAGATATTACCAATCCACTGCATGTTAAGTGTCATTTGAACAAAGCGATTTGTCTGTATAAGCAAAAGAGGTATCAAGAAGCTATTGAGAATACTTACCAAGCTCTCAACATTGACCCTAATAATACCAAAGGTCTCTACAGACAAGCTTTATGAAATAGAGAAATCGATGAGTTTGATAAAGCAGTAGAGGATGTAGAAAAAGCATTAAAAATTGAACCTGAAAACACACAACTCAAGGAACTACAGAAGAAGCTCAAAGAAGACATCAAGAATTATATCTCTCAAAGCAAGAAGGTTTATGGGAAAATGATGGAGAGTAGGAAGGAGGAAACAACAAAAGAAGAAGAAGATGAAGTGAAATGTCAAGAAGGAACTTCTCCATCCACTCAAAATGGTGCAAAGATTAAACAGAAAGTCTTATCTAAAGAAATGGGTATTAAAGAAGAAATCACCCAAAAGTTGTCTCAAAATGTAACTCCTAAAGAAGAACCAAAAGTTGTTGAAATAAACTCAGACACTCCTGAGTCTGAATCCAGTGATGACGGAAGTGAGCATAATGTATACCAAGTTGGTGAAGCAGTAGAAGAAGTAAAGGAAGAGATAAAAACCTATTCTGGAGAGGATGATAGATATGCAAATCTTGAAGCAAGAGTCCAGAAAATTGAAGAAATAGTCAAAGAAATGAAATACTCAATGGATGTTCTCAAAGGCTTTGGTGCTATCCCTCACAGAATGCCCACAGATGAAGAACGAGAAGAAGTACTCAAGAGGCAAGACCAAATCAAGCCCGTCAGGAAGAGCAAACAATCCGACAAAAATAAGGAGCAAGAGAAAGAATTTAGCTGGGACATAGGTATAATCCTTGGCCTCTTCATGATGATGTTTGTGATTGCTGTTGGGACATCTGAAGTGATTGTCTGGCTTAGAAGTAGCGCTTAAAAGTTGTTAATAATACAAGGCGGAATTTCGTAGTCTTAACGATATGAGAATTCAATCAGATATTTAGAGTTGGGGTTTTGGGGTTTTGGGGTTTTGGGGTTTTGGGG